ACCCGAGGGAGGAAAGAGGGGTGTGTGGGTCTGCGTCAGGAGCAGGGGCTGTGTCAGTAGGAGCGGCAGGGGGTACTGCTGGTCCAGGGGCGGCGTCTGAGGCAGGACGGGTGTGATGGGGTCGGTAGGACGTGGTGCTTGAGACAGGAAGAGGAGTGGCTGTCTGCTTAGAGTAGCAGAGCTGCTCTAGGGTGTCTAACTTGCGGTGTAGAGACAGTAGTTGTAGAGCCGATGAAAGCTGCCTCTGCGTGGGTAAGCTAGTCTTCCATGTTGCTTGAAGACTGGGACAGTGAACCAGTTTCACCTCCATCCTGTGTGAGTGCGAATCTCCGGGAGTTACCATTTGTAGAGTTAGGAGATATTGGCTCACACTCAGGATGGGATGGAGAAAGGAAACTCACAATGTGCTCACTGTATACATATTGTATTGGATGTACAATGCAGCTTGTTGCTGGGTAGGTAGCATGGTAATAAGCGTTGAGTAGAGAGAGCTGGGTGGTGAGGTGCCCAGCGTGAGGACACTCGGCTTGAGGGACGCCATGGTCGCTGGCGGGAGTGGCAGCCTCCAGGCTGGCGTGGAGGAGGAGGTGTTGCTTGCTGGTGGCACTGTGTAGAAAGAAAGAAGCTGGTCACAGCGGTGTCAGGCCTTATAAGGCGGGGGTAGCCGTGGGTAGATAGTTGACCCCCGCTCCGTGGGCGGCGCTGGAGGCGTAGGCTGGGGAATTCGAGAAGGTACGGTGCTTGTAGGGGAGGAATCCACTACAATACCCCCAGCGAACAGTTTTTAACACTAGGATTGTAGGTTACCCTTACGGACCCACCGGGAGACACTCACACACACATACACACATGTACCTACACACAACACACACACACACACTCACATACACACACACCTCACCGGACGGATGAGATTGTGGGGTTACGAGATGTTGGGTCCATGGGGGTATGAGATATTTGTTCACACTCAGGATGGGATGGAGAAAGGAAACTCACAATGTGCTCACTGTATACATATTGTATTGGATGTACAATGCAGCTTGTTGCTGGGTAGGTAGCATGGTAATAAGCGTTGAGTAGAGAGAGCTGGGTGGTGAGGGTGCCCAGAGAACGGACACACGGCTTGAGGGACGCCAAGGATGCTGGCGGGAGCGGCAGCCGCCATGCTGGCGCGGAGGAGGAGGTGTTGCTTGCTGGTGGCACTGTGTAGAAAGAAAGAAGCTGGTCACAGCAGTGTCAGGCCTTATAAGGCGGGGGTAGCCGTGGGTAGATAGTTGACCCCCGCTCCGTGGGCGGCGCTGGAGGCGTAGGCTGGGGAATTCGAGAAGGTACGGTGCTTGTAGGGGAGGAATCCACTACAATACCCCCAGCGAACAGTTTTTAACACTAGGATTGTAGGTTACCCTTACGGACCCACCGGGAGACACTCACACACACATACACACATGTACCTACACACAACACACACACACACACTCACATACACACACACCTCACCGGACGGATGAGATTGTGGGGTTACGAGATGTTGGGTCCATGGGGGTATGAGATATTTGTTCACACTCAGGATGGGATGAAGAAAGGAAACTCACAATGTGCTCACTGTATACATATTGTATTGGATGTACAATGCAGCTTGTTGCTGGGTAGGTAGCATGGTAATAAGCGTTGAGTAGAGAGAGCTGGGTGGTGAGGGTGCCCAGAGAACGGACACACGGCTTGAGGGACGCCAAGGATGCTGGCGGGAGCGGCAGCCGCCATGCTGGCGCGGAGGAGGAGGAGTTGCTTGCTGGTGGCACTGTGTAGAAAGAAGAGACTGATCACAGCGGTGTCAGGCCTTATAAGGCGAGGGTAGGCGTGGGTAGATCGTTGACCCCCGCTCCGTGGGCGGCGCTGGAGGCGTAGGCTGGGGAATTCGAGTAGGTTCGGTGCTTGTAGGGGAGGAATCCACTACAATACTCCCCTTCCCCTCCGGGCGAGGCGGGAGGCTGGAGGTTGGCAGAGTTGCGTGCCACATGTGAGGCAGAACGGGCGGCGCCTGCCACATGTGGGATATAACGGCGAGGGCGTGGATGAGCCGGCCGCTAGGGGGGAGGGGGGCAACTCTGTATAGATTCACGAGATCTGTGGGAGAAAAGAGGGAGAAGGAGGGTTGTTGAGGCGATAAATGTTGTGTTTCCCTCGCGACAGGTACAGAGTCCTCAGATGCGCCTGCTGGGGTGTGTGGGCCTGGGTCAGGAGCAGGGGCTTCGTCAGTAGGAAGAGGTTCCATGACAGCCGCAGGGTGCATGACCGCAGGGTGCAGGACAGTAGCAGGGGGTACCTGAGGGAGATAAGAGGGGTGTGTGGGCCTGGGTCAGGAGCAATGGCTTCGTCAGTAGGAAGAGGGTCCATGACAGCAGCAGGGTGCATGACAGCAGCAGGGTCCACGACAACAGCAGGGTGCAGGACAGTAGCAGGGGGTACCTGAGGGAGATAAGAGGGGTGTGTGGGTCTGCGTCAGGAGCAGGGGCCACGTAAGGAGGAGTGGCAGGGGGTTCTGCTGGGCCGGGGGCGGCATCTGAGGTAGGACGGGTGTGTTGGGGTCGGTAGGACGTGGTGCTTGGGGCAGGAAGAGGAGCGGCTGTCTGCTTAGAGTAGCAGAGCTGCTCTAGGGTGTCTAACCTGCGGTGTAGAGACAGTAGTTGTAGAACCTATGAGAGCTGCCTCTGCGTGGGTAAGCCAATCTTCCATGTTGCTTGAAGACTGGGAGAGTGATCAGTTTCTCCTACATCCTGTGTGAGTGCAAATCTCCGGGGGTCACCATTTGTGGGGTTATGAGATTTTGGTTCACACTCAGGATGGGATGGAGAAATGAAACTCACAATGTGCTCACTGTATACATATTGTATTGGATGCACAATGCAGCTTGTTGCTGGGTAGGTAGCATGGTAATAAGCGTTGAGTAGAGAGAGCTGGGTGGTGAGGGTGCCCAGAGAACGGACACACGGCTTGAGGGACGCCAAGGATGCTGGCGGGAGCAGCAGGCGCCAGGCTGGCGCGGAGGAGGAGGTGTTGCTTGCTGGTGGCACTGTGTAGAAAAGCGGCTGGTTACAGCTGTGTCAGGCCTTATAAGGCGGGGGTAGGCGTGGGTAGATAGTTGACCCCCGCTCCGTGGGCGGTGCTGGAGGCGTAGGCTGGGGAATTCTAGAAGGTTCGGTGCTTGTAGGGGAGGAATCAACTACAGGTCGCAGTCAGGATGGGTTGGAGAAAGCAGAGCCGGATTCTGGAGTGGGCAAAGTGGGCAGCTGCACAGGGGCCTCCACAATCTGGGGGCCTACACATATTACAATATTTTATATATTTGTTTATTCATTTGGATTATTTTTATTTTCATTCTTTAAAAGTCATGTTTATCTATTCCATCAAGTAAAACTATGTTCAGCAAGAAGCGTGATAGAAATTAGGCTAGCTACTCCTTGAAATTCATGAATACCTGGTTTTCCTATGAGCCGTATATTTTTGATGAATGCTTTTGTTTCTGTTGCTAATAATATATTTAGAATTCCACAAACATATATTGATTAAAAATGAACTACATGGAATAACGAAATTGAGATTAAAAAAACCAAATACAATATTTTTTTCATTATCACTTCCATTACGAATGCCATCAGGGGGCTGTGTTTATTGGCAGTCGGTCAGACGGGATTGGGTCTTGTAGTATCTGCACATCGGTTGTCATGTGTCTGTCGATGAAAGAGGAGACCTGCATCGCCCATGATTCGTGGACTTCCCACGAGTAGACAAACATGTCTTGCAGATGTAAAATGAGACAGAGAATTGTCATGTGTGCTTGTTGAGTGAAGTCGTCACCGCTCAGTGATGAATGATCTTGTCAGTTGTCATTTCCTAGAACATGTCTTGCAAATGTACAGTGAGAGTGTGAGTGAGAGAGATTCGATTGATGCTTGTGCTTGAGTGTGGGTGGGTGTGCTCTTAGAATATACGTTCACATATATAATTGTCCTTTAAGATACTACAGGTCGATTGGCTGCAAGTAAGTTGAGTTATTTTTATGTATTTTGAGTTCATTAACTATGTCAATGACGGTTTCTGTCAGTTCCACGATCAGTATATACAGTATAACACAGTATAGTCAATGGTGAAAAGGAGGCGAACCGACGGCGAGCTTTAGGGGTGGGACTGGGAGAAGTCAGAGGGATAGGTCATAATCTTACCCAAAATTCCAAATTTTAAAAATATACTGGCGTCCAAATGTTCCAGGGAGTTAAGTAATCAATTAACCTCTCCATAAAGTAGCAAAAAGCAAACGGCCAATTTGTGTTACGTTTTTAATTATAACGAAAAATTAGGTGTCCGTCTTTGTTGACAGAAAATTATTGTTGCAGAAATGAGTGGAATGGACGGACACAAAGGTGTACGACGTTTTGAAAGAGGTGCTGCAAAGAGAAAGACATCTAAAGAACGTGCTGAGAGAGAAGCTAAAGAATTTACAAAACACGTCGACTGACTGAATTCTTCACTCGTCCATCAGCTTCAGAACATCTAGTCAGTGCTTCTGCAAGCTCATCTTCAAGGCAACCAGAACAAGAACCTGCATGTGATGCATAAGCTTCCTATTTATACGGAAGCTCTAGCCTATCTACAGGTGGAAATGACCAGACTGCCGAGGAGATTGAAATTGAATCAAAGCATGTGCCTCCTGAAGTGCAAATGGCAACTACACAAAATTATGACATTGACATTAGCTTATGGTCAGAGCATTTGACAAAACAATTTATTGATTATTGGGCTGCGAACGGTTCTGAGGGTCTCCACAACAGTGATGCTAAATTTTTGGATGTAAAATCAGCAGTACAAAAAGATGCAAACAATGTCAGTCGCAAATGCACACCAGCCATGTTTGAGCGAAGGAATCGAAAGGGGAAGCTGTAAAGCGTTCTTGCCTTTGTTTCTCCCTCGCAAATGGGCGGGTCTACTGCTTCTTTTGCAAGCTAATGGGTGTTTCAAGATCTCACTTCACATCTGATGGGTTCTGCGACTGGAAGCATTCTAATAGGCTTGTTGTCCATGAGCAATCAAAGGACCACATTCAAGCAGTTTTGTCAGCAGCAAGTCTTTCAAAGGGAGCTGGAGGTATAGATTCTAAACTAACTACGCATGTGGGTGTCGCGATCCCAATATCCTTTATACCTGGGGAGTGAAACCTACCCCAAGTTATTATCAAATAAAGGAACAAACAGGGAACACGGCAATAATTATCCCCACAAAAACCTACTCAACTAAATGTACTTGAATAAGTAAGAACAAGTTGAAGTAAGTGAGTCACAAAAGGGAAGATAATTAATTAATTCAATTTATGTTCTAAAGGGAGTACTAACTAGTAAACAAGAATTTAAAGGAATAAGTGATTGTATATTAAAATAAGAGTGATGCCGGAAGGGTGGAAATATACCATTAAGGAGTTAGACCAAACGAATATTACTTAACATGACTATATTACACAGACATACAATATATATACAACAATCACAACAAAATAGTTATTTCCTACCAAACAGGAGATTCCTTAACACCAGGATCCCTTCCTAGGCCTAACTGAACGTGTCACTAATACCTGATACCACTAGGGCATTGCAGAAGACTGGACAAAGCACTAGACAAAGGTAGAGGCTAGAGAAAGAATGGACACGTCTATCCTATGCCACGGTTTTTCACTACTCTGCCAGAGCGTCCCCACGCGGTAAGGAGCGTCTCATATCACGTGATCCAGGACATTTGCTAGATAGTTTATATAACTAATTAATACTACTCTTAGTTTGACTTAACAGAGTAACACAAATGATGCATATTAATAACATACATAAATATGCAATTAACCTAAGTAACTAAGAACAACAATAATATAATAAGTACAATTAACACGTTATTAATAGCTTGTGTGGAATGGAGGCGTGAACATATGTCTCACGCCATGCGAGTTCCCAAGCGCTCAGGCACGTGACACCTCCCCCAAAAAAGTGAGCTTACAACAAACTGGAAGCGAAAATGGATATACAGCTACACAGTGAAAGTAATAACTAACACAATCAGTTTAAATCAATATGAAGCAAAATAATTCATAATATAAACACAAGGTACTCAATGACAATAAAACAAAAACATAATTTGCATATAGACATAGTTTCTAAATAATCAGACTCGAGAAAGTGCATCAGCCAAAACGTTCTCTTTTCCGCGGATATGGGAAATGTTCAAGTTATAGGGCTGAAGTGATAGAGCCCACCTCAAAAGTCTTTGGTTGGTATGTTTCATCTTGTCAACAAAAGTAAGTGGGTTATGATCAGTGAACACTTGAATGGGATAAGCAGTGCTGCCAATATATATTTTGAAGTTTTCTAGTGCCATGATCAGTGATAAAGCCTCCTTTTCAATGGTGGCATAGTTTCTTTGATATTTGTTAAATTTTCTAAAAAAATAGCACAGTGGATGAAGCACTTGATCACTCTCACCCTCTTGCAGAAGCACAGCACCGGCGCCAGTTTCACTGGCGTCGACATGGAGAGTGAACTGTTTCTGGAGGTCAGGTGCAAGTAGTACAGGAGCATTTGCCAGCAGGGATTTAAGATTCTCAAAAGATTCCTGGCAAGCCGTAGTCCACTTGAAGGTTTTCTTGCCACTCAGCAGGTCAGTCATGGGAGAGGCAACGGAGGAGAAGTTTGGACAAAAACGGCGGTAGTACCCCGCCATACCCAGCAACCTCATCACACTCTTCTTATCGCCTGGCACTGGATACTGTTGAATTGCCTCAATTTTGGATGCTATAGGCTGGACTTCCCCTTGTCCGACCACATGCCCCAAGAAAGTGACGTGGGCATGGCCGAACTCAGTTTTGATGAGGTTCACCGTCAGCTTGCTTGCAGCCAGTACGGAGAAGAGGGCTTGTAGACGACTCATGTGATCTTCCCAGGAACTGCTGAAGACGATGAGGTCGTCTAGGTAACAGCGGACACCTTCCAGACCAGACGTGATGAAATTCATGAGGCGTTGAAAGGTTGCAGGGGCGTTCCGCATACCAAACGGAAGGACTGTGAATTGGTACAACCCCTCAGAAGTGACAAAAGCAGAGATGGCCCTGGAGCGTTCAGTCAGTTTTATCTGGTAGTAGCCCTGGAGGAGATCCAACTTGGTCACCTACCTTGCCAGTCCAAGATCATCGATCACGTCGTCGATGCGTGGCCAGGGATAACCGCTGGTTCAGTGACAGCATTCACCTTGCGATAATCCACACACAGCCGCATTGACCCATTCGGCTTTGGAACTAGAACAACAGGGGATGCCCATGGACTGATGCTGGGTTCGACGAGGCCTAGCTCTTGAAGACGCTGTACCTCGGCTCACACACACTCCCGCTTGAAGGCATTAAGACGGTAGGGACGCTGTCGGATTGGCTTGGCTCCCCTGGTCTCAACGTCATGCTTCAGCACTGAACAGCAGAGTGGGTAATCACCAACTATAAAAAGATACTCCTGTAATAGAGACTTTATATTATTGGCTTGGTCACTAGAGAGATGGTACAACTTAGCACTGGGGTCCTCCAAGATAGTCGAGTTTTCCACTTTTACACTAGACCCATTCATTATTTCAGAAAAACACTGATCTTTATCATCCTTACACTCTGGCACAATGATACAAGTTGGCAAGGATTGATCAACACAAGCAACTGCTTTTCCCAGGGTTTCGTTACGAACATGATATGATTTTAAAAAATTGACATGGATAAGGCGTTTTTTCTTACGCCGTTCAGGGGTGCTAATCACATAATTCACGGACCCCTGTTTTTCTAGTACTTCATATAGACCACTGTATTTGGATTTAAAAGGGTGATCATGTAAGGGCAGGAAGGCCAACACCTGCTCCCCCACTTGGAATTCTCTAAGTTTAGCCTGATGGGCCTTATCAAAATGCAGTTTCATTTTCACCTGAGCACACCTTAAGTTGGACTGGGCAAGTTCTACAGCCAGACACAACTTCTCCGTGAATTGGACCACATATGAAGCTAAGGGCGTCGCGCTCTGATCACTCAACCAACACTCTTTTAACACCTTAAGAGGCCCTCGCGCCTCATGTCCATAGACGAGCTGGAAGGGCGAGAGTCCTAGCGACTCTTGTTTACTGTCCCGAACAGCAAACAAAAGCAGGTCAACTCCCTCGTCCTAATCCTTCCCAGTCTCCAGACAGAAGGTGCGCAACATGAGTTATAGTGTCTGGTGAAACCTCTCTACCACCCCCTGTGACTGAGGGTGATAGGCCGAAGACCTCAACTGCCGGACTCCCAGGGTTTGCATTACCTGATTAAACAACCGGGAAGTAAAATTGGAACCCTGATCTGACTGCACCACTGTAGGAAGGCCTACTTGAGTGAAGAAGTGGGTTAAGGCTTTGATAACATTCTTCGCTGTGATGCGGCGCAAGGGAATGGCTTTAGGATAACGGGTTGCACAATCAATAATGGTTAGCAAGAACTGATGACCACGAGGGGTCTTAGGTAAGGGACCGACACAATCTATGACCACCTTACTAAAGGGCTCTTCAATGACTGGGATAGGCTGCAGAGGGAATGGTTTAACACTGGGGTTCGGTTTCCCAGCTACCTGACAATCATGGCAAGTGCGATAGTAAGAGCTGACGTCTTTCTTCATCCTAGGCCAAAAGAACTGGGATAAAATTTTTGCATAGGTCTTCCTAATTTCTAAATGACCACCCACCCCATCATGAGCGATACTAAGTACGTCCTGCCGCAAAGGTTTGGGAATAACAACTTGATGATGAACTAACCAAGGGTGATTGGCAGGAGAATTGGAGGGACGGAACTTCCGCATTAATACACCAGACCTAGTGTAGTAGCAGTTTGATTCTTGCTCAGCTTCTGTCTCAGTAACTGACCGATTGAGAAAACCTACTAGCTTAGGATCCCCTGCTTGTAGCTCAATAAACTTACTCCTAGTGATGGGAGAGGAACCAAAACTAGTGACATCTGGGTTCCTATATCCATCAGAACTAATCTGGAGGTTATCTGGTTGTGGGGAATCCTCAAAATATTCACTGAGACCAAGATCAGTATGGTCCGGCTGGATAAGATTATCCTCGGACTTCTCACAGTCCTGGAGGGAAACTTCATCAACTTCACTAGTCTCTTCTACCTCTGTACTGCTGCTCATGCTACGGGTCACAGCACACGCAGGGAACAACCCTGGAAAGTCTACTTCTAACTGCACAGTATTATTCTCGGCAGTGGGACAAGATGAGATCACATCATTAGGGAACATCATGTCGCCAACGAGGTCATTTCCTATCAATAGAGAGACCCCTTCTACAGGTGAGCTATCTTTTAGCCTGACTTTATGGATGGCCGCAGGTACACTTGACAAAGGGGAATACGCGACCCACCGGTCAAACCGTTCACAAGCACCCAGCTACCAGTATAGCATGAATCCAGGAATGGAGCAGCTTCTTTAGTAACAAGAGATAAGGCTGAGCCTGTGTCTCTCAAGAGTTTAACAGAAGTGGGTTGATTGAATTGATCCAAAGCTAAGGAACCAGGAGAACAAAATGGTTCAAAGGTTGATATCATAGAAGAGGCGGAAGCATCCAGGGCAACAGTCTGACTGAGGGCAGTGACACAGGGCTCCAATAATTTCTCCGATTGCTCGGCCACCCTGACCAAAAGAGCGGGGGATCCTTGGTAAGAGGAATTTCTTTTCTTTAACTTGAGACAGTCGCTGATGACATGTCCTGGCTTCTTACAGTACCTACAACCAAAGTTTCTCTCACCAGTAGGGGTAGATCCACCTGTCCCATGGACCATGGGCTCACACGGGGTAGATGGTGCAGAACCTGAGGGTCGGGCAGGTATGACAAGAGGCAGGGACCCCGGTGTAGATATTGGTGTGGGCCGCTTGATGGAAGTGAAGGACTGGGACATGGGAGCATAAGACCTGGAATTTACATTTCTATAAGTTAAGGAATAATGGTCAGCCACTGGACCAGCATCAGCCAGGGTACAGATACCTCTCTGATCCAAGTGTGCTCGAATGTCGCCTGGGATACACTTTCTAACCTCCTCTAGCATGATT